AATTTAATTTTTTTATTAAAACTCATATTTTAAATACTTTTTATTTTAAAAATTAAAAAAAAAATAGTTTTTTAATGTAAATTTTTTGTTAGCCATAATAATTTTTTAAATAATTATCATAACCAAAAATATTTGTTAAATACATATTTTAGTTTTAATTTTTAGTATTTTGTGCTAAAAAAATTAATATTTAAAATTTAAATTGTCAATTATTTAGAAATTGCTAGCTTTTGAGAATATAATTTAATTTTTTTAAAACTTAGAAGACAAAATTAAAAATTAGTTATATATATTAAAAAAAATGATTTATTCATTGAATATATTTAACTCCGTAATAATTTAATATCGATGGTAAGAATCAACTTTTATTATGTAATAATAATTTTTTTATAATTTATAAACATATTTTATGAAATATAATGACTAAATTGTTACGTATTAAAATTGAAAAATTAAATTGTTAAAAATTAAGAATAAATAGACTGACTATACTGATATTTAAAGATTAAATTGTAACTTCTTCAAAAAAATTAGGGCAAAAGTGTCTTTTAACCAAAAAAAATTTAAATTATTGTGTATATTTATGTCTATTTAACTAAGTGTCTAATAAATTTTTCAATTTTTCAATTTTACACCTTAAATTTAATTGATTTAGTAAATATAAATAGAAAATTTAAATACCTAGTAATTAAGATAAATTTAAAAATTCAATAACGAAAATTTTAATTTAATTTAATTTACATAAAATTAATTTTTTATTAAATACTTTTAATTTTTCATAAATCTAAAAATGACAAAAAAAAATATCTGAAAAATGGGATTTTTATAATGTGAGTGAAATATGAAAGAGTGTGAAATCACGCGCCCTAACAGCGCGTGAATGAAAGTGGTGAGGGAGTGGGGCCCAGCCACCGTGAGAAGCTGGGTTTGTTTGCATGTGACAGCCCTTTTTTTGAAAAAGAAAAATGAATTTTCCCCTCTCCCTCTCTCCACTGTGGGCCCCATCTTAGACTCACAATACTTGAGTATAAAAAATATCTTTACGTTAGCATTGATAACCTCACCTACCCCCCCCCCCCACACCACAAAACGTTTACATCACCCACCTTTTACACCCTTCTTTCATTCCAAATTCATTCCTCCTTTTTCTTTCCTTTCAAATATTTAGTTATCTTCTCAACGTTTTCGCTAGCATTCGTTTCTCTCTCCAATCAATATGGGATCTCATAATCCATCTCGACTATTCTTACAAATTAGATATCTGATATTACTACATTCAATTGTAAAGATTACCTAATTTTGAGTACATGAGTAAATGTTCGCAATAGCCTTATTAGATCGTACATTTTTCTTGGCACCTTTCTGGGTTATTCTTCTCTTTCTTGGGCAGGTATCTTCATCGACGTGGTTTTTTTAACTAGATAACCGAGAGCTAACAATCGAGACTTTTGACTATCTGGACACATACTTCGTAAAATAGTTCGTGCATCGAGAGATTTGAAAAGGGATTTTACAATGTCTAAAGTTGGGTCGGGAGATTTTAAGTGTAGTAAACACACAGTGGATGAATCACTTTCGAGAAATGAATTTATTAATTTGAGGAGCGATAATATAAAATAATTAGTTTTTTTTTAATCAAAATTAGTTTTTGAAAGTTTAGAATAAAATTTAAATATTATATAAAAAAAAAAAAAAAAAAAAAAAAAAAAAAAAAAAAAAAAAAAAAAAAAAGANTATAATAAATAATTCACCAAAAAAACAAGACACGGGTGGCCAACACATTGTGCTTTTCTGAAACCAACAAACAAGATCCATTAAAATATTATTAATTAAGTCAAAACGTTGACGTCACTTTTTCTTTTTAATTATTTTATTCTATTCTCACATGTGACTTGTTTTATTTTATTTTATTTTATTTACGGTGCATTCAAATATTATTTTTGTCACACCCATTTAATTCTGATTTTTTTTTTAGGGAATAAATATAATTCCAAGTTGAAACAAAGATTTTTTAATAAAATAAAATATTTATTATATTAATATTGAACACATTTTTTAACCCCAAAAATCTTTATTTTATTATAAAGATTTTTCTCACCTCTTTATTTAATATATTGGTAATTGGTAATATTAATTTATTATTATTATGTAAGTTTGAAGTTAAACTGATTCATTGGATTAGTTTTTATGAAGCTAATTCTGGAGTGAGTCGTCTAGATATCTAAAAGTGATCATTATAGATTTCAAGTTCGATCTAATAGTTATTTATCCTTCGAACCAGCTCTTAGTTTGAATCATTTGTTAAACTAGTTTTACTCCTGAAAGTTTGCAAGAATACTAGAAGGAACTCTAACTTTGCAAATATTAGAAAAGACACAAAAAGCGCGATCAATCCAATTGGCGCTTATCAAATCTCTATAAATTTGAATTTAAGGTTTAAGGTAGATGTTCGAATCTCTCCAAAATTAGAAGATCAACTGTATCGGGTTTAATTTTTTGACTTTAACGAACCAACCTCTATAAATTTGGATTTAGGGTTTATGGTAAATGTTCGGATCCATCAAATAATCAGAAGATCAACTATACTGGGTTCGATTTATTAACTTTAACGAACCAACCTCTATAAATTTAAATTTTGAGTTCTTCCAAAAATTAGAAGATCAACTGCATTGAGTTTGATTTGTAAACAGTGACGAACCCACCTCTACAAATTTGGAATTAGGGTTTAGGGTCGGAATCGTTCCATAAATTAGAAAATCAATTGTATTTTGCTCGATTTATTTATTTTGTTAGATAGGATTTAGGTTAGATTTTCGAATCCGTTCGAAAATTACAAGATTAATTATATTGGGTTTGATTGGACGGATAAATTAATAATTTTTTTTGAATTAAATATAATAAAATAAAATATTTAATATTTAATATTATATTTCTTAATATCTTGAACAATATATTAATAAGTCTTGGTACTTAAATTTTAAATAAGCATTTATTTATTTATTTATTATTATTATTATTATTATTTATTTTATTTTTTTTTTTTTTTTTGCCCTTCATTAATTTTGGATAAGGAGTGTCCATTGTGGGGCAAATTGGACAGAGAGCCTTAAATTTGGATAGGGATGCGACCTTATTTTCCTAATAGAGACGAAACTATACGTATGATATGACTATTAATCTAACCGTAAAAGTTATTGACCTAAAACATATATCACCGCTTAGAAGGTAAGTAATTTGAATTAGCAATTGTTATTGCCGTACGTTTTGAATCATTTGGTGTCATGATCTTGACACGCTCACGACTAGTCTTAAGGGGAACTCAAACTCCATATTCATTTTTTCGCTTAACTTTGTGACTTCATTGGACCGTCAGTGAGTTTGCCTTTGCCAACCGAACACAACTTGTTCAGCTACACATGTCGTTCATGATTATTGTGACACAACAATATCGCATCTCACTGTCATCTTGGGTTTCAATGACACAACCCATGCATCGTGATGTCATCTCATGTCTATAGATACATCAGTCATATTGCCTTGCTTGGACACATCCATTGAGAATTGACCCATGTCTCGATTATCTCATTGAAACATTCTAGAACATTCATCCATCTAGGTTCACTCGAGCATCAAATTCTCTCGTGTCCATACTAAATCATTTACGACATACGTTCCCGATAGCGGGCGTTTCACTCGAAAATTAGAAAAAAAAAAAACACTCGAAGACAATATTTAATAATAAAAAAAAAAATTCTTGCTATAAATGCATTTGTCCTCAAATTGATTTCAAAATATTTTCCTTTTAAATATGAAAGTATTTAAATTACACCAAAAAAAAAAAAAAAGTTTTTTATTATTAAATGATAAAAGTTGTAAATCATTTTGACAAATTTCCATTTTTTGTCTTTTCTTTTTATTTACAAAAATATACATTTTTCTTTATATCATCTAAATATTTTTTAAAATTCAATTCAAGTATTTTAATATAAAATAATAATTATAATAATAATAAAAAATTGTGGCTATGAAATTTTTATTATAATTTCTATTTTGGTTCTAAACTTTAAATTATTATCCTTAAATTTTAAATTTAATTTCTATTTGAACGTTAGATTTCAAAATATTTTATTTTGAGTTTTGAAATTTTTTCATTTAATTCATAAGTTTCGAAGGTTGTACGTTGTTGTCTCTGTTTTAATTATGATATTAACCTTCAGTTAATTAATTTTAATAGAGACAAGAAATTAACGACTAATTTAATTATAATTATAATTATAATCAAATTAATTAATAAAAAGGTAAAATTTTGATAAATAGAAAAAAAAATTCAAATTTAATTGAAGAGAAAAGTTGGGGTATATATTTCAACATCATGAGATGGATATATTAATAAATTATAGATAAGGTCTCAATTTCAAACATTGATGAGGACATTGCTCATACTTTAAATTTAGGTTTAATTTTTTGTATTATTTCTTTAATTCCTATTATTTTCAAAACTTTCAAATATTTTATTTTGTATTTTCTCCTTAGTATTTACATTTTTTTTTTTTAAAAAAGAGAAATTATTTTAGTTGTTATTATTAATATTTAATGAACAAATTCTAAGCTATATTAAGTCTCTATTTAATAATTTAGTTAAAAAAGATAATAATAGAAATTAAATTAATTAACCAATTAATACCTATCGTTTGAACCCTTGGGTGGTTGTTTTAATTTTGCAATTCCGGTAAAAACCTCTCACTAGGGGTAACAGCGATATATAGCGGGAAACAATATCTATTAGTAGTAATCTTGAACTGTTATAAATATCTGCAAGTGATAGACTTTAACTGTTACGAATGGAATCAGAGGCAGAGGCAGACACCGAATAGTGTGCCAAAAGATACTATCTCCAAAGAGTACTTATAAAAGTAAAAACTATGAAACTGACGACAATTCGTAATTGACCAAAGCGGACAATATCTGCTAATTGGGATAAAATCTGCAAGCAATGAAAATTTACAAATCTCAGGAATTGTCTCAACAGAAACCCCATCATCAGAGGTATTAGATAAAGGAAGCTCGTGTTAATATCTTTATACTTCAAAGCTTCTACATTGTATAGTCGCACTAGAAATAGAAGGAAGCTATTTCATCAATTGAATGCTCTTCTAAACTCAAGATAACAAAGAAGATTTCCCCAACATACTACTTTTCTAAGTGTTCCAGATCATGACTCTGATGAAACAATGGGATTTTTTTCCCGAAATTCTTCCTTTGTAACTCCATAATATACCGGTTCGGTACCTGTGAAGGCGATGAAGTTCCAGCCAAATGCCGATCCGCCAACAATATAGGTTCCAGATGTCTGGCCATCATTTGCTCCCTGTTTTTCGGGGGCGTGACTTGAAGGGTGGTTACTTTCATAAGATTTTGTAGATGACTTGCCCCCCTGTTTACCATCATGGTATTGTTCCCGGGATCGTTGATCTTGATTATCAACTGATATGGACTGACCATCGAGCACGTTGCTAGTCTTCTCGATGTAAAGAGATTCTGAAGTTGTTGCCATCATCAATATATACATGTCCTGTAGAAGCTTTATTCCTGCAAGTTTCAGGTGTTCAGACACATTTCCTTGAAAGTTAATTACAGTCATTGAATTAACTCAGATTGAGAATTCCACATTTATTGGTCTTGTGGTAATTTCATGTGTCAACCAAAAATTAATAGTTTGAGTCATGCATGAAGGCATGTGGGTCCAGCCAATTCAAAAATAGTTGTCCCCTTCTGTATAATCCCATGTGAAGAAATTTCTTCCCAAATTTGGGATTTGATTTGATAGAGGTGGCAGCAGAAAGACTGAAAGCCAACAGAAAAGATGGAAGCAGATTTTAGGGGTCAATCAAGAAAATTTGAGCATGAATTCTACCATGTATTCTCACGCTTTCCCATCGCAAGCCAATATTGTCCTCTTTGGGCTTCTTTCCCCTCAAGGTTTTTAAAACGCATCTGCTAGGGAGAGGTTTCCACGCCCTTATAAAGAATACTTTGTTTCCCTCTCCAGTCGATGTGGGATCTCACAATCCACCTCCCTTTGGGGCCTAACGTCCTTACTGGCACTCGTTCCTCTCTCCAATCGATGTGGGATCTCGCATGGAATTTCTAAATGTCGTTGTTTCCTTGATTTTCATGCTAAACTGCGGGTGATGATTGAGGCAATATTTTCTTTGCAAATTACCAAGCTAGAAACATCACGGAATCATCTAACTTCTGCAGGAAACAAGTCGAAGGAGATAGAACTGGAGTAGGGCAAGGGCTTAGCTCGAAAGCCAAGAGCTAAAGCTAAATGTTGGGTAAGAGGAGGGACAAAATAATTGCTAGAGGGGTTGAACAGTTTGGTTGGATGAGTTAAGTAATTCCAGCAAATTGAAGAGAAAACAAACGGAATCAATAGGGCTGGCCTGGAAATTTTCATTGTTGAATGTGTTTGGGTTCTCAAGATTATTTTGCAATTCTTTTTCATTGTGTCAAAGCAATCTGATGCTCAATCCACGAATTTGAATTTGAATTTGTTTTGGGAGAACCAGTTGTTCAACTAAACCCAGAGGCCAAAGTGTGTTTGGGGGCAGAGAAATTTATCAACATTAGTAGGCAGATTTTAGGACATACAGGCATATTAATCATTAGTTAAGGCTCTATCTTAGTCAACCTACCATCCACAAAGACTAAAGAGGAAGAGAAAAAAGTGGGTGTAAGATCACCCTCAACTTAGACCGTTAAGAATTTAGAACAGTAAAATTCGCAAGCAAAATAATATAAAAGTTGCACACGCACCAAAGGACCCCTTGTACATTCCGTCTTTTATAGGGAAGAGGAAGGAACTCCCTTGTGGGAAAATTTCTTAATGAAAAATTTATCCCCCGCACGCTATCTTTCTCCCAAGCCTCCGTATGTTTCATCCATAAAGGAAATTCAGTTACTCTCCTCCAAAAACTACAGGTAACTGTCCACAAATCCAAGGACTAGATTCGGCTTGCAAAGTATCATCCATACAAGGGTGTCCCATCCATGCTCACCCTTTATCGTATCTGTACCTATTTCTAGGTATGTATCACTTGTCATACATTTTGTTCTTGCTTGGTCCACACATGCCAGTTGTCCCATGCATTTAGGTTTCTAGAGTTTGTGACTATCCTATGATCTCCTCCATCTCCCTTTTCTTAGCCATAAAAGAATCCATGCTTCATTTCAAAGTAGCGTGGTGCTTGAGATTTGACAGAGGAAAGAGATAGAGAACTATAGCCAATAGAATAAAGAGACAAGGCAAGACAAACAAAGATTAACACACAATATGAGAGGTTGAATATCAACATTGGCACAATAGCACATCGGCATAAGACCAATGGATGGAGCATGAGAAAGTAGAGAGTCCAAGGGCATACACTTCTTCTTAAGCCCTTCACACCAAAGGGGGGCTCATGCATAGAAGCGACAGCATGATGGAGTAATGCATGGGAGATCACCAATGGACAAAGGCACCAACACTTGTAAGCAGCATATGCGTAACCTCAAGGCAAGGGAGTCATATGGAGGCTGCACATACAAGAGACATGCGGAGGACAGGTGCATGGAATGGGTAGATCACTTGTACTTGCACGATGACATGTGCACACATTGAGGCAGGTTGGTTCGCACAAAACAACGAAGGTGTGTGTAAAAGGTGCCCTTTACAAGCAATGGATGACACCAAAGTAGTTGGTTCTCATCCACCATCCACGAAAAGAACCTCAATGGAGTGAAGCTCAATCAACCAACCTCAAAGGATGTTGTGCAATTTTGAAAAAAAAGGTGGATTCTTATATAGCTAACAAAAGGAAGATGAAGTAGACCAAAAGATAGCCACAAACACCATAAACCTAAAGACATGAGACAAGTGGCATGTGTGGACCAAGCAAGAACAAGATTGCAAGACAAGTGACACATCTAGCAATCTTCACACCTACATGACAAATGGTGAGCATGAATGGGGCACCGCTTGGAAGTAGTCCTTGGAGTAGTGTACAGTTACTTGCAGTTGTGGGAGGAGAACTGAATTCCAATTATCCACGAAACATGTGGAGACTTCGGAGAAAGATATATAGCACATGGGTGGATGATTCTGGCATCAAGCAATTGTCGAGACATAAACAAATGAGTGTTCCCCTCCCTAAGGCTAACCATGAGAATTTACAAGGGATCCTTTGGTGAGTGTACAACATTTATGTTCTTTTGCTTAGAGTGAAAAAAATAAAAGAAAGGTTTGGCCCAAAAAAGTGAGTGTTCTAATTGTCTAAGTTTAGGTGATTTTACACCCCCTTTATTCTCTTCCACGTTAGTTTGAAACAAGCTCCCAAGATACTCGCATTTCAAACAATATGAACATGCAAAAATGTTCCATTAAACGAACAAAAGCCACAAAGGAGAATCAAAATGCACTTACTTTCTCGAATTTCATTAGCTGCCTTGCAATTGCGGAACTCGGGAGTCTTCAAAACCTTCAAGAGAGAGTAGAAAACCCACAGCAAAACAGTCTCAAATACACTGCCAATGAGAAACTCGTCGAAACATAGAGAACGAACGAACTCACACTAAATTAGCAAAACCAAACTTCCCCAAAACAAACATTCCCCTAAATTTCAAGCTTCTAAACCGCCATTTTACCAGATGCAAAGAAAAACCCAGAAAAAAGAGATCGAGAAATCGTTCAAAACTACCAGAGATTATGATCGATTAACCATGACATGGAAATTGATCTGGAATCATACCTCGAGAAAATGAGGACGAAGATCTCTAATAACAGCACGCATCTTTGTATATTGGATATAGGCATTTCTGTCGAGTGGCCTCTTCTTGGGCTTGGGAGGAAGAGGAGGCAATGGCGGAGTGGGTTGAGATGGAGCTGTGCTTGGAGGAAGTGGCGCGGACTGTGACGCTTTGATTTCCTCCATAACCTACAATTTCTCGGTCTCGAATTCTGAAGGAAGGGTTTTGGAGGACGGAGCAAACAGCAAAGAAATACACGGTTAAATAATACCAAATATTATTGTTTAATCAAAATATAAAAAATAATTAATTAAAAAAAGAATTTAAATACCTTTATCGTTAATATTTATTTAAAAAAATACTTATGAAATTGTCTATTTAATTTTGTCTTTCATTGATTCCCAATAAAGTAAGTCATTGGTGTCGGGAGAAACATGGGAGTCTCAGCTCATGTATCGGTTTACCAAATCACCTCATAGGCAGGTAGTGAAGGCTCGTTTAGTAGATAGCAAGCTATGACCGAGTTAGCTTTGTCTATAAAAAAAAGAATCTATAAGTATTACAACTATGAATCTCATAGAGAGTTCGATCCTATGGGGAGAGGAGATATCCCAAAGGTCGACTCCTTGCATATCTGCTATTGTCTAACAGGTTTGTTTTCTTACGCATTGAAGGACCTGCAATAAACGAGATTCATCTTTGTTAGTGAAGGTAGTTAATACGATAACCGTTCAAGTCTTAACTTTTCCAAGAACATTCTAGATAGTCCCAGTTGGCTTAGTTTAGATAGTTTCTCTTCACAAGAACATTCTCGATATTCCCGGTTGGCTTAGCTACAAAGTTATCTACTAGCTGCAAGATCATCGTAATGAGCATAGCTTCATTGATTTTTAACTATTTAAATATCAATAGAGGCATCAAGTTGATACTTGTACTTAGATCATACATTGCACGGCCAACATTTATTCCTACTATCATGCACGAGATAAAAAACCAAAATGGACCCGATCGTACGTTTGTTCGGGTCTTACTCACCTTTCATCACGCCGTTCAAGAAAGAATCTTAGCTCGATATTATTTCATTTAAATTATTGCAATCCACCAACCCCATGGCATGAATCACGTTGTATCTTTTTTTCAATCGGTTGGAAATTGAGAAGTAAAATGTGTAAAAATTAAAAGAAATTAGTGACATCTTTTCCTCAAATTCATACCCTTTTTGCAAATCCCCAATCCATCCTCTGCTGTACATTTCTGTAGAAAGCCGACAATCGAGGAACCAGCCGTTTCTAAACGAAACCTTGGATCGATTCGACTAAGAAATGGGCCTTCAAAGGAACTATCATCGGCCGAGTTCATTCCAGTGATGATTCGGGCCCTAAATTGGTCCCGCAAGTACAAAAACACCGTAATGGGTATCAATTGCTTCAAGAATGCTTGCTGCTAACTCTAAATTTTATATTCGCGTTAGAAAATAAAGAGTTAATTATGAGAAGCTCGTGGAATCTGAATGGTAGATGCTTGTATCCATCTCTGAAATGGGTTTGACTGGCGTTGGGTGTGGCAGGTATACTTAATTCTTCCACTGTTCTCTGTTCTTTGGTGTTTTTCCCACCAGACAACGGTTTACACCTGTTGTAGTTTTGTCTCTTACTATTGAATAATAATTTGATTGTTTATTATTGTTGCTAATCCAAATGCTACTCTGTTCATAACTGTGGGAGGCTGCAATTTTTCTAACTTGGGAAACTTTTATCACTTGGATGTCTGTCTTCACTCCTTGGAGTTTTGTTCTTTTTAGTTTTTGATAGCTGAATGAGCAGTTTAGTGATGATTTATGGTTTCCCTGTTGTTCTTCTGTGATGGATCTCTTTCTTGCTAGCTTTAGGCTGCTGATTTCTATATGGTTTTGTTCTTCACTTTATCACTCCCTTTCTGATGCTAGCCTTCTTTTCATTCAAAATTTAGGTTTCTTTGGTTCATCCGAGTTTGTTTTTGCTAATTTGAATGTTCTGGGAAGATTTGAGATCTTAGATTTTCTTTTCCCCTTCTAGAATTCATGTTTTATACTCCATGTGTAAAATTTTGAGTAGCTTGATGCATTAGAGCCAGTTGAATTTCTTCACTTCCAGTTGTTCCTTTCACTAGAGATGGATATTATCCTGTTTTTAAGTTCTGCTGTTAAACTTTCATGTTGGAATGTATTTGATTCTGATAACTTCATGTGTTCCTAGCCTCGTTTCCTATGTCATTGGCCTGTTGTATTCCCGTGGCTGAAGGTGTTTACTGTATAGCATGTGCTCGTTGGTTGTGGTTGAAGTTTCTCTATAATGCTGGCCATGAAAGTGAAAACTGGAGCCTAGCCACGACCGAGGAATTCGAACCTATTCCTCGCTATTGTCGATTAATTCTATCGGTCTATGAAGATGATCTCCGGAACCCCCTATGGGCTCCTCCATGTGGTTATGGTATTAATCCAGATTGGGTGCTACTACGAAAGGATTACGAAGAAACTCTCGGTCGTGTTTCGCCATATATGATTTACCTCGATCATGATCACGGCGATGTAGTCTTGGGAGTTAGAGGACTTAATTTGGCAAAAGAAAGTGACTATGCAGTCCTGCTAGATAACAAACTTGGGCAGACTAAGTTTTGTGGTGGATATGTGCACAATGGTCTCTTGAAGGCAGCTATATGGATTTTTGAATCAGAATGTGAGGTATTAAGGGAACTGGTTGAGAAGAATCCAGGTTACACCTTGACATTTGTTGGCCATTCCCTAGGGGCCGGAGTCGTGGCATTGTTGACGATAATCGCACTGCAGAAACAGGATAGATTGGGGAACATTCAGAGGAAGAGGCTCAGATGCTTCGCTATCGCTCCGCCTCGGTGTATGTCACTAAATTTGGCCGTGAGATACGCCGATGTGATCAACTCTGTAGTACTCCAGGTAGAGTCATCAAATATGGCCTGCAAACAAACTTGTTTTCTCTGAATGTTTATAATTCATAGGTTTAAGTTATTCGATGCTTTATATTAAGCACAATTTGGTTTGTTTTGCGAGCAACATATTGAATCCATGCGTTATGTGGTTAAGTTCGGTCAAGACTATCTTTGATACCTTGTACTTAAGGGATTGTATCTATGAACTCTGTACTCCAAAACACATCACATTCGAAGCTTTTTGTAACAGCCCAAGCACACCACTAGCAGATATTGTCCTCTTTGGGCTTTCCCTTTCGGACTTCCCTTCAAGGTTTTTATAACACGTCTGTTAGGGAGAGGTTTCCACACTCTTATAAATAATGTTTCGTTCTCCTCCCCAACCATTGTGGGATGCTCACAATCCATCCCCCTTCAGGGCCCAGTGTCCTCGTGGCACTCGTTCCCTTCTCCAATCGATATGGGACCCCCCAATCCACCTCCTTCGGGGTCCAGCGTCCTTGCTGGCACACCACCTCATGTCTACCCCCACGGGGCTCAGCCTCCTCGCTGGTACATCGCTCGATGTCTGGCTTTGATACCATTTGTCATGGTCCAAGCCCATCGCTAGCAGATATTGTCATCTTTGGGCTTTCCCTTTTAGGCTTCCCTCAAAGTTTTTAAAACGTGTTTGCTAGGGAGAGGTTTCCACACTGTTATAAAGAATGTTTCGTTCTCCTCCCAACCGATGTGGGATCTCATACTTTTCATCAAGAAAGGATGCATCAATGTTGGAAATGCTTTCTGAAACTAACCAACATAGCTTTTCTGTTTTTTTTCGAGAAACAATTTTATCGATCGGGCATGAAGCAACAGAATAATATTGATCATGTTCTTACTACTAAAATCAACAAATGGGAGAGTATAGCTACTTACTACAAAGCTTTCAGAGAAGCAAAGCTCAGTGTATGAAATTTCAGGACTATGGGCTGAAGATGCGTGAAATCCCACAACAGGCAGCACATTTCATATGCTTGATGATTAAGTTTGCATAATGCGTATTACTTCTGCACTATGCAGATGTAAGATGATCATATAGTTTTGTTGACTGTTCATTCTTTTGAAAGCAATGAATCTTCATTTGTTCTTTCCTCTTGGCATTAAGTAATTATACTAAATGTGCATTATTTTGATGTACCAGGACGATTTCTTACCTCGGACTACTACCGCTTTGGAAGACGTATTCAAGTCACTTGTCTGGTAAACATACAATCTTGCTACCATCTCGAAGTTATGGACATATCTCACATCTATGTTTCAACAAGCATGAACCGAACTAACTATCAAAAAGAACTTTAATTGGCCAATATGTGAGAATCCTACCTTGATTGGGGAGGAGAACGAAACACCCTAAGTGTGTAGAAACTTTTTTCTAGCAGACGCGTTTTAAAGCCTTGAGGGAAAGTCCAAAAAGGACAATATCTAACTAGCGGTGGACTTGGGCCGTTACAATATTAGGCTTTCTGACTAGACATTTATCGAAGACTTCTTTCTTGCAAGTGAACGGAACACTTTTTTACTTGTTATGTGCTTGATATTATACGATACTGATTGAGTATCCATATTTGAACAGCCTACCATGTTTATTATGCGTGATGTGCTTGAAGGATACCTGCACAATGGAGGAGAAGATGCTTAAGGATCCACGACGTCTTTATGCTCCCGGGCGTCTGTATCACATTGTCGAGCGAAAACCGTTTAGGTATGAAAGGCTTTATTCAATCAATCCAAGCAGTTTATAGTTAACTAGTTAGGGAACTCTGAAGTTTGTTCGGTATGCAATTTGGATTCTCTTTTATGTTTCGAATTGGCAAATATTTGGTAATTTTGTTTTGAAAAAGGTTTTTTTGGACTCTATCTTCCCAATAGTAGAATTTTTTAAAAAACAAGATAAAAAGTTTAAAGTCTTATTAGACACAAAATAAAAAATTTAGGGACTCGTTAGACACTTTTAGAATCTAAAGATTTGTTATTCACAAAATTGAAGGTTAATAGTCTAGTTAGACACTTTTTAACGTTCAAAAGACTTATTGATACAAATTGGTAAACGTTCAAATAAACCTAATTGATAAATGTTTGTGAAATCCACATCGGTTGGAGAGAGGAACGAAACATTCCTTATAAGGGTGTGGAAACCTCTCTGTAGTATACACGATTTAAAACCGTGAGGCTGACGGAGATACATAATGGATCAAAGCGGACGATATCTGATACAATGGTTGACGACGGATGCTTGACATACTTTTTGGCAGATTCTATTATGCTTACTGTCTAAGAACTAGTCGAAAATTAGCTTAGAGTGCCTGAACTGTTACAGTGAGGTACACCTTTCATCTTTCGTATTCTTGTTATGGTTATGATCTCATTAGATCTCTTGCTTCCTTGGTCGTGGTTGAGTTTTGTGATTATTGTCTTGTTTAAGATGTTCGTCGACCGGAGCACCGTTTTTTTGTGTAATCTCTAGCGTATTGGGATATCGCTCATCTTTCTCCGAGCTTTTGTTAATGGAATAGTTTCATTTTTACATAAAGGGATGTTATGAATTTGCAGGATAGGAAGATTTCCTCCGGAAGTAAAGACAGCAGTGCCTGTAGATAAGAGGTTTGAGCATTTAGTTCTTTCTTGCAACGCTACTTCAGACCATGCTATCATCTGGATAGAAAGAGAGTCTCAGAAGGCTCTTGATGTAAGTCACCCAATTATTTGTGATGATTCATACAAGTTAATGGGTTGAAAAAAGGTTATGTTTTTTCCTCTCCCCAGATCATGATGGAGAATGATAAAGCCTTAGAAATCCCAGTGCAGCAGAGGATGCAACGGCAGGCTTCAGTAGAACGAGGACACGGCGAAGAGTACAAGGCAGCTCTCGAGCGAGCTGCTGCGTTGGAAATCCCTGATGAAAACATACCAATCTCCTATGGAACATTCACTGAAATGGAAGAAGGTGAGAATTCTAGGCAATCAATCGAAGATGCGTCGGTTGCCTCATCGACAAAACGAAGGGATCGTTGGGATAAGTTCATAAAACGGTTTTTCGATGAGGATCAGTCGGGTCGAATGGTGTTCAAAAAATTATGAGGCTTACTGAATTCTCATGGGGAAGTAGGAACTGGAAGTAGCATTCTTTTTAGTGTAAAAAGAGTAGAGATTTAGTAGATAGCTCATTTGTTTCAAGAATAGCTCAGCTGATAGAGTATCCCTTTTTTGGTTTGCTTCATTTAAGCAAAAGTCATATAGTCTAGAAATGACAGCTGTGGTAAACTGCTCGGATTTTATTTTATTATTTTATATTAGTGAATAGAATATGCTTTAGCCCGTTATATCTCGTTGTCAATCTCACGATTTTAAAACGCATCTGATAGAGATTAGTTTTCATACTCTTATTCATACCTTATAAGGAATGTTTCGTTCCTCTCTCCAACCGATGTGAGATCTCACAATCCACTCACTTAAGGGCTAGTGTCCTCGCTGACACACTACTCGATACCTAACTCTGATACCATTTTTCGATTTCTGCATATCATCCTTGCTACGTTTTCCTACGCTATGTTTTCCTCTTAATATTACATAATAAATGATAATAAATGAAAGACAAATTTATACGGGAAAAAATTAGATACTTGACTAACTTATGTTCACACCTGTCTGTATGTGCAAATACCCGAAAGTGCAATTTTCATGAGGACTTTAGTGGCTTGAAATCTAGAGAGGAGAGATATTGAGGGGAATTTGTGTCCGAAGGACATATTTCTGTTCACATGTGCCCAAAACTGATCCAGAAAATCTCAAAAGCGTAACAACTTAAGTCCACCGCTATATATTGTCCTCTTTCAGGTTTCACTTTTGGGCTTCCGCTCAAAGTTTTAAAACGCATCTACTAGAGAGAGGTTTTTACACCCTTATAAGGAATGTTTCGTTCCCTTCTCTGACCAATGTGGGGTCTCACAATCCACCTCTCTTGAGAGTCTACTGTCCTCGCTGACACACCATTCGGTGCTGACTCTTATATCATTTGTAACAGTCAAATTCCACCGTTAGTAAATATTGTCTTATTTGGGCTTTTCTTTTTGGACTTCCCCTCAAAATTTTAAAACGTGTCGGAAAGGTTTCCACATCCATATAAGGAATGTTTCGTTCTTCTCTCTAACCAATGTGGGATCTCACATGCAACCTACCTCTAAAAAGACGGTTTGGTTGGTGTTTGTGCCAAATAAAATGGCATCTGGAATCCATTGTAAAATGGTGATTTCAATATTGATGCATAAGATACCTTTTACAATTTCTGTTTAATCACATCATTGCAACAACTACATCTAATTGACAATAAATATGGACTCAATATCTAGAAGTTTTAACTGGAAACTAATAATATCAATTACCCTGACCTGCAATATATTGACAACTCCCAATACTTCTGGAGAGATGAATTATACATATTCTTGCTGGCTATACCAGGAGATCATGAACAGCTTCTCCTGCATTTGACAACGACAAATTTGTCAATGGCAGAACAGCAATGGCATTGTTCCGAATTTTTCATATTAAGAAACTAACGATTCCGACTTAAGGATATGATTTCGGGAAGAGAAGTAGAAACCGAGAGCTTTACCGTGCATTCTCTTCACAAATCGTTCGAACTCCATGAAGTTTAGTCTTTCTAAGAGAAGTGGACTGAGCCTGTGAAAGATAAAGGATGACAAATATCTCCCGTCCGGGTCGGCCAGGGGCTTGGCGCTATCCAATATCTTGTTATAACCTACTCTGTCGAGGAAAGGATGAGCGTTCTCGCTTACAACTTCGACACTGTTGTCCCGTGCAGCATTTGTCACCTGGATTGTTCATGAGCAATTTCAGAAAGCAGAGAAAATGGAGCGAGGAAGCGTCGAAGAGGGCATAGTAATCCAGTAATGGGTATAATACTACAGAATCTAAACAAAATTTGAAGTCTAATATTATGTTCTTACTTGCCAAACTACTGCCTCTGGATCAGACAGCGAATTTGCAAAGTCTTCTCGCTGGTCTAACATGTGAAATCCAGCAGAAGTGAAGTTCAAAGAAGCAGAATGCTTTTTCAGCATTGCCATAATTGCAGCATAACCATCACGATTGCAAGGGTTATAGTACCCAGCAGTCAATTCGGCTGCATGACTTGCTGTCTTGTACCACCAGTGAATACCTGAGAGCTGCTCAGAATTTAACATATAGCAGGTGGAGTGAATAATCAAGCAATGCTAGTTATTAATCAAATAATTTTTCAGCTTAAGTTAATTTTGCTACTAGATATACAATACATGTTTCAAACTAGAGTACTGGCAGTTTACAAGGCTCGCTTACCTTCGCAACAATGCGGGTTCCCTCGAAAGCCAACTTTGCCAGATAAAGTACCCTATCTCCATGATCAACTAAAACTTGGGAGTACCAGTTAAGGAAGAACCTACCATAGTAGCCATCATAATCACCTCCATCACAAAAGAAACCTGTTTCATGTGGCCTAGAGCTGTAGGAACCTACATTATCTGGTCCTCTCGCCCAGAAGGAGTGTCCCCTTGCTTCTGCTGCTTTCCTCAAGTTTTTCAACAAGTACTGATCATAACACTGAAATGAAGAAACTGTTAAGATCAAAATAATACACGAACGATTTCGGAAGCAGATGGGATATTATTAGCAACAAAATGTAGATGAAGTTAGGAGGGAATCTAAAATGATCACGGGGATCATGCTGAATTCCCAGAGTTTAATTGGAATAGGTGCTGTCAACAGAAATAAATCTTTTCAAACAATAATTTTAGCATTATGCGCTTTGCTTCGCTTTATATTTATTTTATTGAAGAGAGAGACTATTGTCTTGAGAGTGAAAAGCAAGTGATAGAAATTCTTGTCCCTCGCACATTCGCACGAACGATTATCAAATGGTGATCTCATTAGATCATTAGTGAAAGAAGGACCAACGACGATCCTATCCTAAAGGAGGAGGCGTAGGAGATGTCATTCTTCTTTGAAGATCGAGTAAGAAATCGGACTTGAGATTTAAGGAAGAATAAAAATCCATGAAATTGCAAATTTATGATATAATTGCGAGAAAAACTCATGATGTTACCTAGTGCAACATAGTACCTGGAATTCACCAATACCAGGATATCTCCAACCATGCTTAACAGGACATGATGGAAATCTAAGCTCACCACATGGTCCCAAACCAACTTCAATTGTTGTGATGACTCCATCTTCGAAGAAATCATTAAATTCAACACGAAAGCTTCTCATGTAGTCAAAATAAACCTACATGAAAGAAAATAAACATTTTATGAAAATTTTTGCAGATCTATGTAACGAGGGAAATTCCTAGCTAGTCTAACATTTGGCAATAAAGGCCTTTTGTTTCAGGAGAAGACAAAACCGAGACTTATAACACAGGATCAACAGATGCCTAAAGAAAATATAAACGATAAAACACGCATGCTAGGACATACTCCCAAAGTGAAAAGTGTTTACAAAATATGCCTCCACTTTATTATGGTAATGAATCCAGCAGAGCTTGAGCATCCCAGGAAGCATACTTAATTCTTTAATTTCAAGAAGCTCAATTCATATCTTTACAATTAAATATGATCTCATGGTAATCTTTAATTAATGTTACCTCAAGACCTGTCCGGCCTCTTAACACTCGCTCCTTATCAACTCCCCATGAGAGACATTCAGGATTGCGTCTTCCCTCTCTATCAGTAAAGAATATGTCAGGATTACTCCGACCAATTTCAGCAACCCAATGAGGTAGTGGAATACAAACATCATCACCAACGTTGCCTCCACATTCATGAAATGACAGCACAACCTGGATTGTATAAACCGGACAACAAATTTCGATTAACAAAGGCTTTAACAATAAAATTCCAAGAACTACATCAAACTAAAAAGTAGGGGGAACCAACAACAACCACTAAATTTACTTTAATTCATTGCATTGTTAAGTAATGCATGCATTTCAAGATTAAATTTTATTGCTTTAATAAGTTAGTAGCTCTCCATTTGAATGAAAAAAGAGATGCATGTCTAATAATACATGTAGATTTCAAGTCTATGATGACAACAAAGCAGGAATTCTCATAAAAATTCAGAAGAATTTTTAATCAGCCTCCAATAGATTGGCTGAAACAGATATTCACCATATCCAAATAAAGTTTACGACTCAGCAAAGACGTCTTCAAATTGAAGTATGTAGATCCAAGTAGATATCAATACATTCCTTGGATGTTGATCAACGCCAAGGAATTTATTATTCCCTTGTGCGAGACTAAATTGCTCAAGAAACCTATACAAGGGGAACATAAACACGAGAAAGTTTGTAAAACTTTCCAGCGTTGTAGTTTATGTATATTTATATGAAGCAGATGACCTAAAAAATCCAGCTAAGAAACTTTCCCAGTGAAGAGAGCAATCTTCTACTGTAAACAATCTCAGCCTCACAAGAATAAGTTAAGCTATGTAAGTTGAAACTGTCAACTTCCTTCCAATTCATAAGCGCACGTGTGAAGAAACTTTACCAATAACTTAGATAATTCCTCTTTTGTGAGTGAATAGCTATCATGAAGATTTTCAATGTTTTCCAATACCATAGTCCAATTTAACTAAGCCAAGAAAAAACTGATGAGTTCTATTACCAATTGTCAATGGCCTAAACCACATGCTAAGTATTATGCAAGAGAAAAATATAAACTTTCCGGTGTAAGTTTATATGTGTAAAGGCATATAGCTCCAACAAAGTTATTAAAGCATAAATTGAAATTTAAGTTAATTTTTTACAATTATGTATAGAGCTGTAGTGCATTAAGAATTGTAAGGTTCATTTTATCTATTTCAATATGTAAATACGATTACATGATAATATATTTAATCATAAACTTGAAAAATAAAAATTTTAAACTGCAGTGGAATACACGTAATAAAATGTTCAAAAAGTCTCCTTTTCCTATTGAAATGAATATTATAAAGAGAGGATTAAGACAAATAGAAGAACGAACTATCACCAGTCCATAGCATTAGAAGACAAACAAAACTATCATGTCATCCTACAGGAGAGAAAACATGAGAGCAAAAGAGTCGAGACGACATGAGACAATAACTTCACCTGTAACTTGAGCTTCAATTCATGCACCATCTGAAAAAGTCCTCGGTAACCATTCCAATTATATTCCTGTGGAGAATGAGCTTCAACTATCCCCCACCAACAATCAACCATGACACCATCGACATTTACCGACTTCAGCAGCCTTAGCTGCTTAAGCAACCCATCTGGATCAACTAGCTCACATTTCATATTAATGACTCCCAACTATCACCAGAAAAGGGACAAGTAAATTAGTAGCTCCAAAATAAGATGTAAAGCAGCAACAATATCCAACAATGACCCCAATTTTTATCAACACCAAAAGATGCTTTCTCACACAAGGCTGAATTGGGGAGGAACTCACAGGGAACAGAACTTAAGGTACTGAAAATAGATTAACCAAAACCAAAATTTATCAGTTAGAAAATAAACAGCACCTACCGGTAGCATCACATAAACTGGAATGTAAGTACTCCCGGCAAAATCACGTTCTGGTAATTTTGGTGTTACGTCAACAATCTACAAAGAACAATATCATTTAATTTTCAATATATTGCTACACAATGTATTTCCATTGTTAATAAAAAAATATGAAAATTAATCACGCCAGCACTTGCAATAAGGAGCTCAAAGTGCTTATTGCTGTTTTCAAATGCTTCAAGTAGCTTAATCTGCAAAGCGATTTTATTTAATTTAATTTTTTTTTTTTTTAAAATATGAACTTCCATTGAAAAAGAATTAAAGCATACAAGGGAGGTGTTTGTTATGCATCATCAACCACAGTCATATTCATGCCTCAACTACATGCCATAGTGAGGAATAAGCATATCCATGAGATCAATCAGTATCTGAAAGCATGAGCAAGAATAACAAGAACAGGCCCGGAGATGGGCAATGAAACAACCAATTTGACTACCTGCATTCCATCTACAGCATCAACTGAACTACTGATAAGCGGATGACCAGCTGACTGTTCAACGGCATCTCCTATCAGGGATGAACTTTGACATCTAGCATTTGGAGATGCATCATATGTTGGCGAATTAGGCAAAAAAACACCTTTCATTCGACATGCATTGTATTCTGGCAAGCTCCTAAGACCACACCTGACTCCCCTAATGAACGTTGATGGAGTTTGTTGAGACGCCATATGGGAAGAGGATGAAGTTATTGCAGTAGAACCTCCTCCAGCAGCTTTGATGCCCTGTAAATGTTGAAGAGAAATGTTCCCATTTGGGTATTTCTGAAATTTGTTCGAGGTGATATTCAAGGAATGTTGACGCAGCCTATTTAGATACTACTATGTCTGTGTACCTTCATAAACTATAATAGGAGTATAAAGTTGATGAATGAAATCTGCTTACAAACAAAACATTGCAATTTTGCAATTAACTTTGCAGGTTGATTGGCCAAATGCTAGTAATTATTATTTATTTAGCACATGTTTTACAACTGAAATGGATGATGCTCATATCATTGCGAGATTTCACTTAATTAAATCCAAAGGAATGGGTACTAAACAAGTACCTGAGATCTTGAAGGAAACGTGGTTCCATCCGGTAGAACTACCCAACCAGCTTCTGTAGCAAGAGCTGCAATCACATCATTGATATCTGCCCTAACTCTGAGATTATAATTACCATGTCGCCGAAGACCTGCCAAGATCCTAGCAGTGATTGCCCTTCGATGCCGCTCTCTCAACTTTGTTCTCTCTTTCTCTTCAACTGGTCTACACCTCCGGCCACCCCCGGGGGTGCCCACTTGTTCTTGTACCTGGTGTTGTTCAAAGCGGTTATTATTGCTACCACTTGACACCATTCCTCCATCATCCCCAATCATTAACGAACTACGAATCCGCTTCTCCCCATCATCTTCTTCATCATCCTCCTCTTTCACATCCATCTCCACATCCTCATCATCATCTTCCTCACTTGTACCTATCAATTTTTGCATATCCGTTGCCATAATCACGTTGGCTCCAAATTATATACCACTAGGACGTAATTAGTTTACGATCAATTATTATACTGCAAATCCATTATTCTCAATTCAGCGACAGTTAACGTCCAGATAACACGCTCCATATGGTACCACTACTACTATGTACATGAACTTCTTGGCAAATCTGGCAGGAAAGAGTACTCTGGCAACAAAATGAAACTGGATATTAACTGTCACATGTCAAACTATTATCACAAAAGCATCCAATTAAAATTCAAAAAAATTATAGGAGTTGTAAGATCTCCAACTTTCAGTCAAGTCAGTACATGAATATTCAATATATGCCATTTTTCATGTATCAAGGAGACAGAACAAGTACGAAACTAGTTTAATTTTCTTGGAACATTGAAACTTCATCTAAAAAGTGTTCGATGTTCATCCTATTCTCCACAAACACCGTAAAAAGTTCACTTCTGAGATTCCATATTCTATACACGGGAGTGGTTCCCGTAGCTAAAAAGCAACTTGAAATTCCGGCAGAAAAACTCGAAAGTCTACAAGGAAAAAGGAAATCTACAGTACCTCAAGAACGTCATGTTTTCATTTTCCTTTCTTCACTAAGTCTTATCTCCACCAGTAGAAAGAAACCACGTGTCTAGATCCTCAAACAGTTGATTCCTTCGAAAATTTCACCTACAAATCTCAGCACCAAATTCTGCAAGAACGACTACTTCAAAAAAAAAATCCGTATGAACAAATACCTAAATCTTCAACAATACCATAAAAGTTTCTCGCGGAGATGACGGAACCTTTCCGGCGAAAGGCAAGGTACTCCAGAGACAACTTTCCGTCGATCAGTCTGGCTCCGGCCGGAGAAGAATCAAGGAGCATGGATTCTAGAATTCACCGGCGACTCGCTAGTCCGGCGACAGAGGAGAGAGGGAGAAGGAGAGAGAGAGATTGATTCTCAAGCGTGCGAGCATGCGAGGGGAAGGGTTTCGCACGCGCGCGCGTGTGGAGGTGATTCAGAATTGGGAAAATTGGCACGCACGAAGGAGGCGTGTAAGGGTATAACCGAGTGAACGTGAAGCGGGTGGATGGGACGTGTTCCCGTGTGGGTCACACGTGTTTTTGTAGGATTGGGGATAACGGTTCGGTTTGGTTTTAGATCCCCTCAGACCGAGCCAGACCGAACCGCTCCAATGAACTAAAACGTTGAACTCCATTGTAGTTGCTTTAAGCTCCGTCTTCCACAGGTCTCGCCGGCCAAGGATATCGCTGTTCTTGATTTTCAAACCCCTTTTCTACGATGATCAACGACCAGGCGCATCCGTCTGGTCTTGTCATAGCTCACACCGAAGCTATTCGCACATTTCTGACCTCGGCGTCCATAGACTCACGAATTTCTGAGGAACTCCGGCAGCTTGCTTCAAATCTCGCTTCACAAGACAATGTTCCGTATAAGCCGCTGAGAGCTATCTGGTTTGCTACGGAATCGTCCACCCGGCCGGATTTGCTCCGTCTTTTGTATGGATCGGAGTTCGTCTTTACAAGCCCTAAACCAAGGGAGAAGGTATGTATAATAATTTAATCTTGGATCTTATTTATCTAGTTCTATATTAGTCGGAGTGATGATTTGATGACAAAATTGAAGATGTGAAATCCAAATCCAAATTAATAGATGGACTCTTTGAAATTTCTGAAAATTAGGGTATAATTAACATGCAAATTAGGTTATCTAATTAGAATTCCTCTAGCTTGAAGAGAGAAGGGGGAAGAAATGAGTGCAATGTTTGGTTTCATGCTGATTTGGTGTTGAACACTGCTCTAACCAGTTGAATATTATCTCCAAAGAACTTGACATGGATATGAACTATACTCAGAACACACAATTTTTAGAACGAGAATGAGCATATGTTGAGGATTGTTGGGAGGGAGCCCACGTTGGCTACTTCAGGGAATGATGATGGGTTTATAAGTAAGGAATACATCTCCTATTAGGACTTTTGGGGAAGCCCAAAACAAAGCCACGAGAGCTTATGCTCAAAGTGAACAATATCATATCATTGTGGAGATCCGTGATTCCTAACAGCTAATATCAGATTCCTAACAGCGTAGTCAATACTTCTACGACCATGCTAATAATGATATCATTCATGTCGTGAATCCCTTCAATCTAGACATGATTTGGGCCAAGTTGTACTGGAAGATTGAGCCTTTGAACAACGTTTATGGGAATCCAAACTGACTTTTTATGCTGAAATGATAAAATTTCCAAGTTTCAGTACTTTTGGTAACATATAATTTTTCTTGTGGGCTATGTGTATACAGAGTGAGGAGTTAAAGGCTAGATTGAAGAATCTTGCGGATGTAGCAGAGAGGAAGGCCTATCAGGAACTAGTGAAGGATATTGCACCTAAGAAACCAATTGATGAGCCTTTCTCTTCCTACAAGGATCAGCTGGGGTTCGGTATGTATGCAACCTTGTCGTTTTACGTTGCCGATATATGCCAATTTACTTCTTATGATATACTCAAATACGAGCGGATTTTTTGTATAAGATAAAATTGTATGTAGTTTTATGAATTAATATGGTCTTGTCATATTTTACAAAACAGAGATTTATCATCAAGAAAATCTTTATTAAATTTTAATATGGTATTACAAGATCGTCGGAATCGGTACATCTCATGAACGTTTTACTTGAACTCTTGCAGTTTGATGAAATAATATGGTCTTGTCATATTTTAGAAAACAGAGATTTATCATCAATAAAATCTTTATTATGTGATTTGTTGATAATTTTTAATATGGGTATTACAAGATTGTCTGAATCGGTACATCTCATGAACGTTTTACTTGAACTGTTGCAGTTTTATGAAATAATATGGTCTTGTCATATTTTACAAAACAGAGATTTATCATCAATAAATATTTATTATGTGATTTGTTGATAATTTTTAATATCTGTATTACAAGATTGTTTGAATCGGTACATCTCATGAACGTTTTACTTCAACTCTTGCAGTTTTATGGAATAGTATGGTCTTGTCATATTTTACACAACAGAGATTTATCATCAACAAAATCTTTATTATGTGATTTGTTGATAATTTTTAATGTGGGTATTACAAGATCGTCTGAATTGGTACATCTCATGAACGTTTTACTTGAACTCTTGGAATTCTGAACTTCTTTTGTAACCTTTGAAATCTGTCGTATCATATGGTTCTTTCTTGTTTTCTGTTGCCTTCTGAACAACAATATTTAACAAGCCACGAGGTTGTTGCAGGTTTACACGTCGTGTTGATAATGTTTACGGGCTATCTTGTTGGATATACTTTATTCCGAGCATTGTTTAGGCATGATCCAATCATGGTATTTATTGAATATCTGTTTAATCTTCAAGCAAACTTGTTAATTTCTGATTCTCATGGTACTGTTATTTACTGGCCATCAATTTTTGTTTCTCAGAGTGCTGCTGGAGGTATCCTTGGATTGGTTTTTGGCATGCTCGTAGAAACACTTCTTTTCATTATTCGAGCATCCAGTTACGATAATCGATCTTCATCGTCTTCCCGTTCTAAGCTAAAGAAGAATCAGTAGAGTTACTTCTCTTGAGGTTTGCTTTCTTTCTACTTAAATTGAACCTATTAAGTTAGCTTTTACCCTATGTTGTGGATCCAAGCATAATAGGCAAGTAAGTAATAAGGGCCTTGCTAATGTGCTTGCTGTAATTTGTTTGTATAAAGACGTGTTCTTCTGGTGAAGAACATCAAAAGAATTGAGATCCGATTGTTCATCTCAGGAGATGAAGAAATGATTTTCTTGCCACAGAAAAATGGAAGTGCTCTTCAAATAATATTCTTTTGAAAAAGAAACCTTAATGTAAGGATACAAAGAACAATCCGTTTGAAATTTCAAGGTCCGTCTCGGTCTCGGATCGACAAAGAGTCTCTACTATATGATTTTAAACTCTTGTACATATATGGTTTTTCGGTTCGATTCGGTTCGATTTGGTTCGGTTGCTTTGACCCTAAACTCCAACATGAGATTCTGAAGCCCTCCGTCCCCCTTCCTTCGTAATTCGACTAATTATGTGACGTGGACATATTATGTCGAGGTTGGATTGTTCTCCAATTCGGACTTTTGGTATATAATGTTTTATCAAGTTGTTAATAGGCAGAAGTTATTGTTTTTTGTGATGTATTTCAGTGTTTTCACGTGTTTATTTGGTCATTTGGTAGCATTCGAACAGATGTCTATATTACTATAATACTAGAAATTTCGTACCCGAGTCTTTGTATATAAAGGGCTCGTGGAATTTTTTAAAATTTTAAATTTTATTATTAAAATCGAGATAATTGTAACTCTCTAATTTACACTAAATAAGCTAATTAAGTCTAACTTAGTTACCTATCACATTAATTTCTAACTATCCCTCTCATAGTTAGATCATATTGCTTAGTCCAAACTTCTAAAATTGGAGTATTAATTAAAATCAGGACATAATTGAATTGTGTGGCGTAGTGAAAGGTTTCCGTTCGAGTTTCTAGTTTCACGAGCTAATTAGCCTTTTACTTTTGATATCCTAAATTTTTGTATTTTGTTTAAAAAAAAATATCCCTAAACTTTTAAAATTTACAATAATACCCTTATGGGACGATTGGTTTATGTTTTTATTGAGAGAGATTTGATGAGAGGTATCGTAATAATAATATTTTCATGTTACACTAAACACATTTGTATAATTCTCATATATTTTATTTATGTTATCTTATTCTCACGTATTATAAACAAAACTTTTAATTAATTTATCCCTTAAATTTTTAAAAAAGTTTGAAATATATATTTATCGACAGTTTGACAGTTTTAGATGAAACCCGCTTCAATTTTATTTCAAGAATGTTCTTAAACCTTCAAAAATATTTTTAATACTTTAAAAATACACTTAAAATTTTTTAAAACGAGCATTTTTTAAAAAATACATTTTTATTAATTTAGTCTGTAAAATAAAAATAATACAATGGGTTAAAAATGAAATATTTGGACGAAATATAATAATTTAACTTTTAATTTTTTTACCACTATACTATTTTTGACAAATTCCCTTATTTTTTCAATATCATAAAGCCATACTTAATTTGGGTTTAAAACGTAAAATTACAACTTTGCCCCCACTTCACCTCTGTCAAATGAGGCATTCCCTTGGCCCCATTTGGTCAATTATTGTTGTACCTTTTTTTATCACTTTTATCTATCAACTTTATAAAAATAGAAAGAGTATGTACTTCTTCCCATTTATATCATAATTTTTATTCAATTTTAATTCAAACCCTTAATTAAATTTACATTTTTCAAAAAATAAAATGAAAAAATCTTTTATATATATATATATATATATATATATATATATCTAAATTAATAAAATATCCCTCAACTTTATAAAATTTTAAAAATATTTTTAAAATATATTTATGGATCGAAATTTTAAAAAGTTTAATTAATACCCTTTAACATCTTTTTAAAACTTTTTAATATTACTTTTGAAAGTACTATTTTTTAAATGTGTTTTTTATTATTTTTTTTTAATTAAAGTGTTTTTCAAGTTTTTAAATACTTAAATGGTGTTTTTAATGTGGTTTTAATTTTTTTTTAAGGATATTAATAAAAATTTTGGTTCGTGTAGGTTAGATGCATGGGACAAAGGACTCGTTTGAACAAGAGTTTGAAGGTTTGAATAGGAACTCCTATTTGTAGGACATTTATTGTCTTGGTTTATATCCGGGAGTACTACTATGGTCGATCTGTTACCCAATCTACTCAAACCACCTAAAGGTTTGGCATCGGGGGTCACATTGAAAGTTTAACAGAATTAGACTTCAAAAAAAAAAAAAAAAAAAATCCATAGGGCCTATGAAAACTTAAAGACAGATTCAACACTAGATGATTCCAACTTTCCCCTACATCTCTTGCGACATGATCATGTTACCTACTTCTTGCTTAAGTTTAAGAGTGAAAACTATCCCACAGACAACCATGAATCCGCACATCTTACTAAGAGAGGTATCACTCTGATACCATTTGTAATTACCCATATCCAAATTCAGAAGCTATATTCTGCATTTGATGGCCCCAACATTCACTAGCATCCCTAGTGACATTGTCACATTACCTACTCAAGCATGTTTAATCATGAAGTTCTTATTATCACTCTAATTCAGATATGATCTCTGTTCTAAATGGTTAAATATTTAAAAATATAAGGACCGAGCATTAAAAATTAAAGTAATTTTTTAAAATCTAAATTTAAAAAATTTGAGAAATTAAAAGTGTGGGGTGCATTTTGTGAAAGAATTTACGAGCTTCAGCCTTCACTATTTTGAGAATAGAAAAAGTTCCCATTCAATAGTAAAGAATACCCTGTTTTCAGAATGATTCGTTTATGAAGCGAACAAGCTTAAATTATGAAAACTTTTCCTCTTTCTATTTGATTTCATCGTCTTGTCAGTCAAAAAGTAAACCCTAAATTAGAATTTGTCAGCCCCTCGATCAGATTTTAACCCTAAACTAATCGATTATAACCCTCTCTTTTAAACCCAAATTTGTATAAGGGTTGCATCTGAGAAGATGGTTTCCACTTTTTCCAGTAATTACTTTTCTGTTCAGAAAGCTGCTACTCTCTGTCGCACGGCTAAAGCCTAAAAGCCTTTTGGGTTTCGCCATTCTGTGGCGTTTGAACCAAATCTTAAGCTCCTTATGGCTAATGGCTTGGTGGGTTTTCGTTGTTCTTCATCGTTTCTTTTGAGTTTCTCTGTTTTTTTCTGGAAAAAAATGGCTAATGGAACTGAAAACTGTGATAGCGAACCTGGGTTTCTCCGAAAGCAGCTCGCTGTCGCTGTGAAGAGCATCCAATGGAGCTATGCGATCTTCTGGTCACCGTCGATTAGGCAACATGGGTATTGATTTTTCTTTTAATCAGTTCTTGATGACATTGTTCTTCATTCTTTGGCTTGTATATCCTTCTGGGGTTTCCTTTTTCACCATATGGGCGTTGAAAATCCAAATGGGTACTGTGATTTTGATTGTTTTATTTTGTGAGGTTTGTTCTTGGCAACAATTTATGCAAATGAAGTGGTTAATGATCTTAAGCTAGGCTTACAGTGATCTGATTTAAGTCCCTTCTTTCTTTTACCTTCAACTTTCCTGGACTTCTGTTTTATATCATTACTGAGCAATGGGATACCTTTGAGGAGCTCAAAATCTGAGTTTCATCTAAAATAACATGTAACTTTGAGCTTGGTTGTCCGGAGATATCCTCCGAAATCTGGAGTTCAAGCTTTCGTGTGAGATCCTACATCGGTTGGGGAGGAGAACGAAACATTCTTTATAAGGGTGTGGAAACCTCTCCTTAATAGACACGTTTTATAACCTTGAGTGGAACCCCGAAAGGGAAAGCCCGAAGAGGACAATATCTGCTAGCAGTGGACTTGGGCTCGAAAAAACTTAAAATCAGCCCTAGATGGCAAAGCCTCTTGGTGATTATTGGGGTTAGGGGCGGGCCATGAGAATAGTATTGAGGATTGTTGGGAGGGAGTTCCACGTTGGCTAATTTAGAGGAGGATCATGAGTTTATAAGTAAGGAATACATCTCCATTGGTGTGAGGTCTTTTGGGGAAACCAAAAGCAAAGTTGAGCTTATGCTCAAAGTGGACAACATCATACCATTATGGAGATCTGTGATTCCTAACATGGTATCAGAGTCGTGCCCTTAACTTAGCCATGTAAATAGAATCCTCAAATGTCGAACAAAGAAGTTGTGAACCTCAAAGATGTAGTAAAAAAGTGACTCAAGTATCGAACAAAGAGTGTACTTTGTTCGATGGCTTCAGAGAAAGGAGTCGAGCCTCAATAAGGGGAGGCTGTTTGAGGGCTCTATAGGTCTAAGGGGAAGCTCTATGGTGTACTTTGTTTGAGGGGAGACCCTTTGTTCGAGGACTCTAGAGAAGGAGTTGAGTCTTGATTAAGGGGAGACTGTTCGAGGGCTGCAAAGGCCTCAGGGGAGGCTCTATGGTGTACTTTGTTCAAGGGAAGGATTGTGGTTGCTTACAAATTCATAGTTTGTCTATATAGTTGTTGTACTATAAAGAAAAGATTTGGTTTTGTACTTTAGGGTACTGGAATGGTGTGATGGCTACTACAATGGAGACATCAAGACGAGGAAAATGGTTCAAGCTGAAGATGTTCATGTCGATATTATGGGCTTACATCGAAGTGAACAATTGAGAGAGCTCTACAAGTCTCTCTTAGACGGTGAAAGTGAGCAACGAGCGAAAAAGCCTCCCGCCTCTTTGTCTCCTGAAGATCTATCTGATGCTGAATGGTATTACTTGGTTTGCATGTCCTTTTTTTTCAATCAAGGCCAAGGGTATTCTCTCTGATCCATACTTGTGTTCATCTCTTGACTTTTGTTGTTTAACTTGTGATATTATGAGCGCTATCTATCTATCGTGTGTAGTTTGCCTGGAAGAGCGTTAGCTGATGATCGAACTATCTGGTTATGCAATGCTCAATATGCAGAGAGTAGCGTATTCTCCCGCTCCTTGCTTGCGAAGGTTCGATTTCTTTTGGTGGGAAAATATCACTAGTTTGATTTTGAATGGTTTGATGCCTATTCAAGTTCCTTATGATCTTATCAGTGAGAAACAAATTGACGTTTTTCTTCTTTCTTTTTCATTGGGGTTCTTATTTTTGACGTCGTTGATCAACTGCTTACAGAGTGCATCGATTCAGGTATGATTATCCTTGTAAAACATCATCTAGTGCTAGTTATGATGATAAAGAAAATCAAAAGTCCTCTAAGAATAGTATGCCTTAAAAAAGGAAAAAGAAACCTCTCGTGATAAAACCATAAAACTTTGTCTATGTCTGCCCCATCGGTTGGAGAGGGGAACAAAACATTCTTTATAAGGGTGTGGAAACCTCTCTCTAACAGACGGGTTTTAAAACCGTGAGGCCGACGACGATACGTAACGGGTCAAAGCGGACAATATCTGCTAGTAGTGGGTTTGTGCTATTACAAATGGTATCGGAGCCAGACATTGGGCGGTGTGCCAACGAGGACGCTTGGCCTCCAAGGAGGGTGGATTGTGACATCCCACATCGGTTGGAGAGGGGAACAAAACATTTTTTATAAGGGTGTGGAAACCTCTCCCTAACAGATGTGTTTTAGAACCGTGAGACCGACGGTGACACATAACGGACAATATCTGCTAACAGTGCGCTTGGGCTGTTACAAATAGTATCAAACCCAGACATTGGGCGGTGTGCCAGCGAGGATGTTGGGCTCCCAAAGAGGGTGAATTGTGAGATCACACATTGGTTGGAGAGGAGAACAAAACATTCTTTATAAGGGTGTGGAAACCTCTCCCTAATAGACGGGTTTTAAAACCGTGAGATCGGCAGCGATACGTAATGGGCCAAAGTAGACAATACGTAACGAGTTCGATTATTGGCTACATGAATCAGCTAAAGCTCTGAGAATTGACTGCTGTTTACAATGCTATTTTCAAGTCTGATAGACCTGATCTTAAAATTGTTTTTGTGTTGTAGACTGTGGTGTGCTTTCCTTACCTTGGCGGTGTTATTGAACTAGGTGTAACTGAGCAGGTAATATTCATAAAGAATCATCTGTTTCACAAATTGTTTATTTATGAATCAACATCATATGTTTCGGGACATCATATGTTTCGGTACCATGTTTCGTGTTTCATGCGCTGTCCTTTTAAGGTTTCGGAGGATCCTAGTCTTCTTCAACATGTCAAAGATTTTTTACTGAAGTTCTCAAAGCCGATATGCTATAAGAAATCGTCTTCCTCTGCTTATAAAGATGATAATGGTAAAGAACCAATGGTTGCCAAATCTGACAATGAGATTGTTGAAGTTTTGGCTATGGAGAACGTCCACGGTTTGACAGCTGCGAAATTCAGCAGGAAGGCAGTGAATGGGATTCAAAGGAAAAACGATGAGTTCGGTATTGATTCTCTTGATCGTTTTTCCAATGGTTGTGAACGATTTCACCAAATGGTAGATCCTTTAAGACTTGAAGGTGTCGAGGGAGGGGCTTCGTGTTTTCAGAGTTTGCAGTTTCTTGATGACGACTTCAGTTACGGTTTTCAAGATTCCATGAATCCTAGTGACTGTATTTCTGAAGCTTTGGCAAATAATCCGGAGAAAGTCTCATCGAAAGGCACGAACGATTTATCTTTGAAAGAGCTTCAAAACTCGAACCGCACTAAGTCAGTTTCCTTAGATCCTAGAACTGATGAAGACCTGCACTACAAGAGAACTATCTTCACCATTTTGGGAAGTTCAACTCAATTGGCTAGAAGTCCTCTTCTTCATAGTTTCTCAAGCAGATCGAGTTTCATGCCATGGAAAAAAGGAATGGCCGAGATAAACACGGCCCCGGTGCAACAAAAGATGTTGAAGAATATTTTGTTCACGGTTCCATTATTATCTGCTGGTTGTTCTCTAAATCGCCTCAAGGACGGGGAACGGTCGATCTTGAAACAGGGTAACGACGATTTTTGCACGAAAGATGTCGTGCACGACAAATTAAGAGAAAATGAGAAGTTTATGGCTCTTAAGTCCATGCTACCTTCACTTAATGAGGTACTTCCCGCTTCGATTTGTAACATTTGTGCGGATTTTACATCGAATTTGTAAGTTCCTAAGCATATACATTGTTGCATTTTTGCTTCAATCATATTTTCTTAAAGTGATATTGTAACCGCTCAAGTGCACCGTTAGTAGATGTTGTCCTCTTTGGACTTTCCTTTTCAGGCTTCCCCTTAAAGTTTTTAAAATGCATTTGTTGGGGAGAGGTTTCCACACCCTTATAAAAAAATGTTTCGTTCTCCCCCCAATTGACATGGGATCTCACAATCCAACCTTCTTTAGGGCCTAGCGTCCTTGCTAGCACTCGTTCCCTTCTCCAATCAATGTAGAACCCCACAATCCACCCCCTTCAAGGCTCAAACGTCCTTGTTGGCAAATTGCCTCATGTCTACTCCCCTTTGGGGTCAACCTCCTCACTAGCACATCGTTCGGTATCTGGCTCTAATATCATTTGTACAACTCAAACTCACCACTAGGAGATATTGTCCTCTTTGGGCTTTACCTTTCGAGCTCCTCTCAAGATTTTTAAAACGCGTCTGTTAGAGAGAGGTTTCTACACCCTTATAAAGAATGCTTCATTCTCCTTCTCAGCCGATGTGGGATCTCAAAATCCACCCCTTTCGAGGCCCAGTGTCCTTGCTGACAGCCTTGTGTCCACCCCCTTCAGGGCTCAGCCTCCTCGCTAGCACATCGTCCAGTGTCTAGCTCTGATACCATTTGTAACAACTCAAGCCCAACGTTAGTAGATATTGTCCTCTTTGGGCTTTCCCTCAAGGTTTTTAAAACGCGTCTACTAGGGAGAGGTTTCCACACCCTTATAAAGAATGTTTCGGTCTTCCTCGGAAGGAATTTGCAAGTTCCTAAGCATATACATTATTGTGTTTTTGGTTCGATCATATCTTCTTAACGTGATACAATCTGAAAATCTTAATTATTTTACGCAGATCAACAAAGTATCGATACTCAACGATACAATCAAATATTTGAAGATGCTCGAAGCAAGAGTACAGGAGTTGGAAACTTGCATGGACTCATTATATTATGAAGAAAGATTTAGAAGGAAATATCTTGACATGGTGGAACAGACATCAGATAACTATGACTATGACAAGATTGAAGGCACCTTAAAACCTTCAACGAACAAGAGAAAAGCCTGTGAAATGGATGAAACTGACCTTAAGCTGAAGAATGACATTCCCAAAGATGGCCTTAAACTAGATGTGAAAGTCACCATGAACGAGCAAGAGGTTCTCGTCAACATGCACTGTCCTTATCGAGAATATATATTGGTCGACGTCATGGATACTTTGAACGACTTGCAACTCGACGCCCACTCGGTTCAATCTTCTGATCATAACGGCGTTTTCTCCTTGACCCTCAAGTCTAAGGTTTGTAATTTAGTTTCTGTCATTTGTTTTTCATGTTTTTCATTCCATAGACACACCGAAAATCCGACTCAAATTGAACCGTCTACATCCCTAGTAGCAAACCATGGAGAAATGTCGTTTTCGACCTTACATATGTGTGAGTCGGAGGGCTTATATTATTATTTCATAGGCTAAACCATATATTTGCTTTACATTCCACAAGTTTGATCATAGTCTGCAAATTTATTGAACCATCCACTCGTAATGGAAATGCTGATATATTATCTTTGATGAACAGGATTATGACAATTCTTCGTTTGTTTGACGTTTTAGTCGCTATATCTATTTTAGTTATAGAACTGTGCTGTTTTCATTTAGAACGATGACTGCGTAGGAGTAGAAGTATGTTTCTGTCTGTAAATCGAAACTCGGGTAATTTACGCTGCCTGATTTCGTTTCAGTTTCAAGGGATGGTGGCTGCATCAGTTGGGATGGTCAAACTAGCACTTTTGAAGATTGCCAACAAGAGTTGAGCCAAGCCGAACCGAACCGAGCGGAGAAGAAAGCTTAGGATCAATGGTGAAGCATTTTCTGTAAGTCAGTAGAGTTCAAATGAGTAGAAGCAAAGGAGCTGACCTTCTAACATCCTCCCCTTGGGGCTTACAAATTAGGCAAGATTAGCATCAACTGATTAGATTACCTTGCTTAGCTTTTGAGTGATGATATCTGATCATTTACTGTTGTTATTTGCTACCCATAATCAACTTACCATGTTCTAATTATGAGAGTTGTAATTTCTTATCAGTATAGGTTAATAGCTAACTAGGCTGCACTTATTTTTTGCAACCCAACCCGAGATTTCTACTTAGTATCATAAACTAAATCTCTCTCGAGCCAATGAAAGGGTGAGACCTCATTGTTCGAGTTTAAAATAAGCACTGAGGTGAATCGAACGAAACATTTCTTATAAGGGTGTGGAAACCTCTCCATAGAAGATGCGTTTTAAAATCGTGAGGCTAATGGAGATATGTAATGAGTTAAAATGGATAATATCTGCTAACGGTGGTCTCAGAGTCGGACACCGAGCGGTGTGCCAGCGGGGATGCTGGTTGGAGAGGGAAACAAGGAAGTATTTCTTAATACGTGTTTTAAAACATTGAGGGGAAGTCCATAAACGAAAGTTAAAAAAGGACAATATCTGTTAGCGGTGAACTTGTGAGCTTAGGTTGTTACACACTAAACGCTAAATGAGAAAGAGAGAGTGTCGTTTTGTTCCCCCAACTCCTATTACTCGTGCAAATAAAAGGATATGTGATCACAAACAAGAGTTCAAAACTCGCTCAAATTTGAGATCGAGTCACATATAGTTTAGCAGTGTTGTCCACCGAAACATCAATATTAGAAAGACGAAAATCTTCTATTGGGCTTGCCTTGGGCATCGTTGAACTCACAGAATCAGCTTTCAAATTGAGTGGAAAACCATTCTTGAACTAGCCCGAGTGGTTATAGAGGTTGACCTACTTTCCACTTTGCTATTACAAAGTTGGTTAACAAATTCATAAAGAGAGAATAAATATATTTCACAGTCTAGTCTTATACAAATTCATTGTATATGATACCAAATTATTTTAAGTAATAAAATTTAATTTACGAGGATTTAAAACATAAATTTTATTTAATTAAAAAAAAATAAGATTAAAAGCAATAAGTAGTAGATTGCATGATTTAATTGGAGAGAAAAGAAATGATTAAACTTTAGATTAGTGGCATTTCCCCTTTTAATTTATAATTAATTAGTTGACTAAATGCCTTATTTATTTATTTATTTATTTTTTATTATTTCCAAAATGGGTTTGGATTTGCTCAACGTGGCTCCCAATTTCAAGCCGACCAAACCCACTTTAAACATAATCTAACAAAAATTTAAATAGATTTTACTAAACCATATTATAATAATAATAATAAATAATAATTAATTAAATCTCTCCTTAAATTTAGCTTTTTAATTATTCATATTATATTATAAACGTGGAAGAGATGATTCAAACCTTTTGCTTTTTTAGAGCTCGACGTTCAACTGATGTGATGGTTGTTCGTAGGTTGAATTGGGTCAGGTTTAGACATTTTTAGACCCAATCTAATTGATTGTTCGTTGTTGGATTAGGTCGGATTGAAACATTTTTTAGACCCAATCTAAGTGATTGTTTGTGAGTTGGGTTGGCTGAGTGGAGACATTTTTTAGACCTAACTGAGTTGCTCGGATTATAAATTTCTTTTAACATAAACAATTCTTGTTAAATAATGAACCGAACCCAACCATAAATTTTGGGTTGCATTTGGGTTGGACTGTTCGAGTCACTTATATAAATTTGAATAATTTACTCGTGATTATATACTGACTTTTTTTCTTCTATACCTGATATGAGTACCGACTTGTCGTTGATGCACTTAGATTTGTTATGTTATTTAATGAATCAATTACACTGATGTACCTAAATATGAATGTCGATATACCACTGATATACCTAATATGAATATTGATATCAATAATTACTTGATTACTCATTCGGTCGAGCGTTCTCCATATGTTGATCAATCTATCACAAGTTGCTATGTTGTTATTTGATATTACTCGAAATAATTTTATTTATTTTAAAGTAAAATTTAAATATATTGTGAAAATTCCCTTATTTTTATTTAATAAATTGGAATAAAATTGCAATACAAAATAAAAATTTATTTTTCTTCAAAATCCTTCGTAATCGCATTCCCAGCAAAATCTCTCACAGTGAAACCAACCTTTTCAAATTTCCCTCTTTCGTCATTCTCCCTGAACTTCAGGTAATCCGAGCAAACAAATGGCTTATACAGTTTCTTACCGCCGTCGCCGACCACTTCCTCCGGCGCCGACACGACCTTCTCGTCCTCAAACCCCCAGAAGAATGCAATCGAGAACCGATTGATCGCCGGCCGCCGCAAAACCACTCTGTGCTCAGACGACCTAAGCTTGTCGTTGCTCCAAGCTTGAAGAAGATCGCCAATATTCACCACAAGAGCTTCGGATTCGGATTCATCACATGGGGCTATATCGACCCAATCCCCTGCGCTTGATTTCACTTGCAGACCTCCTGTTTGATCTTGGTACACAATGGTCACGCAGCTCATATCCGTGTGCATTCCAAGTCCTTCTGGTTCTTCATCTTCTCCCAAGGTTTCTGGAGGTGTGTAATTGTTTATTCTCAGATATCCATGGCAATTCTTGAAATGAGATTCATGGTATGTGGTATCAAAACCTTCTCCTAAGCTCATCAATATGTTCTTTATAATCTTCCTTGATAGCTCTGTCATTTTGTCTCCATAGTCTTGCAATATCTCACTTTATGCACATGAAATTAGACTGTTAGAACAATAGAACAATACTGATTTGAAGTAGATGTGCTGTGAATTGTATGTACCTGAACTGGTGAGGGCTCTTTTGGTTAAAGAGGAAATCTGCTGAACTCTGAGCAGATGCTAAGAAGTTAGGACCAGAGACTCTGAGAGTTTCAAAGAACGGGGAGGCTATGAAATGGGGAGTGTAAGTGTTCAAAGAAGAGAGAGGGCCAATTTTGAGCTTGGTTTCAGAAGGGAGGCTGAAAATTTCATTGGAGAAGGAATGGAGTTTGTTGTAGATATCTTTGGAGATTCCATGGTTTTTGATATGGAAAAAGCCCCATTTTCTGCAAGCATCAGCTAGCAAAGAAAGGGAAGAAGGAGACAATGGCTGAGAAATGTCTAAAATGGGGAGTTCCACTGAGGCCTTAGATACAGACATGTTTGGCTACTAATTTGTCTATAGCGAGCTAGCCTATACTCCATAGGTGGAGAATTATATTGCTTAAAAAGAAAGATTCAAATAGTCATAATTTGTTCTTTATTGTCTCTAGTTTTAATCATTAGTGGGTTGATTCCTGTCACTTGGAAAAGTAACAATGAAGATAATAAAAACAATAACACAGTGATTTGAAAATTGGGTAAACGATTCATAATTGTAATTAGCTAAGGGGTTTGACTTGACATGCTTAAAAATATTATTAGCTTTTGTTTGTTATAAGCAGCAATCAGGTATTGTTGGAAGCTTAATAATGCAAGCTCTTCCATTTCCATGGAGCCAAGACAGGCTGGTAAGGAAGAAACTTTCTTCTATAGACTTTTGTTATATATATATATACACATATTCTTTTGGATAGAGGTTTGATCAATGCAAATACTTTGTTAATAAGCATGTAGGAGTTAGAAAAACACTGTATGCAATCATTACTTGGTTATCAGCCCAAAAAGTTTGATCTGGTCTCCCATTTATAATATTTAGTTGTAATGTTAGATGAAGATACTGATGCGTTGATATTTATAATGATATGTGTTGATGTCTAATGGGTATCTTCATCTCAAAAGTCATCTTAAGTTGCCTGCTAGATTAGGTCTTGACTTTTATTATTCTCTTATTAACAATTGTATGTTAGATTAGTTTCTTAAGTTGGATTTTTACTAAGAGTGTAATTCAAAGGAAGAAGTTGACCGAATTGGTTTGATTATAGAACCGTGTCTGTTTATTGGAACAAATAGGATGTCGGGAGCTCCTTTTCCCTTCACTCTCCTCATCTCTCTTGTTTGAACCTTCGGTCATCAAAACTTTTTTGGCTCAACTTGGTCTGATGGCCTTGGTTCATTAGTAACAGCCCAAGTCCATCGCTAACCAATATTGTTCTCTTTAGGCTTTTCCTTTTGGGTTTCCCCTCAAGGTTTTTAAAGCGCGTCTACTAGGGAGAGGTTTCCACACCTTTATAAAAAATGATTCGTTCTCTTCCCAACCGATGTGGGATCTCACAATCCGCCCCCCTTTGGGGCCCAACATCCTTGCTGGCACATCGCCTCGTGTCAACCCCCTTTCGGGGCTCAGCGTCCTCGTTGGCACATTGTCCGGTGTTTAACTCTGATACCATTAGTAACAGCTCAAGCCCACCACTAGTCGATATTGTCCTCTTTGGGCTTTCCCTTTACGGCTTTCTCTCAAAGTTTTTAAAATGTGTCTGCTAGGGAGAGATTTCCACACTTATAAAGAATGTTTTGTTCTCCTCCCTAACAGATGTGAGATCTCACAAATAGGTTAATTATTGTTGTCTGATTCATTTTTTTTTTTTTTAGACTCTTGGACTAACATATTGTTTCAATCAAACTAACCTAGTTACAGTCCTAAATCCCAACATCAACCAGATCGTAAATGAATTATTGGGTTTATTAACATTTGTTCATACTAATGAATCTCCTCCACTAACCAAAAGCTAAGACGAGATGAAATCTTCCCACTTCTAAACTAACTTCCAACCTTTTTAACAAGCAGAGTAGGATGATCTAACATTTCCATTAACAAAAATATATACTATGAATATGGGCATTTTTTAAGCGACAAGCATTGGAGCAAGTTACAAAAGTGAATTGGTTTGGATACTCAAGTTGTGGCTTATAAAATTTGATTGGAAACATATATGTATCTTTTTGGATTTAGTTGTTTTTAGGCAGTATCAGAAAAGGAAAAAAGTGAAACTATGAATTAATTTTTATGAGAACAAGGATAATGGCAGACATGATATTTGTGTATAGTCTCGCCCATGCTTTGTTTTAAAGTTCATGTTTTGTTTTAAACTATGAATTAATCTTTATGAGAACAAGGATAATGGCAGACATGATATTTATGTATAGTCTTGTCCATGCTTTGTTTTAAAGTTCATGTTTTGTTTTAAAGGGAAGTTTCAGTAATAGCCCAAACCCACCGCAAATTCTGTTTAAATTTGTTTTTATTAATTAATTTTTTCATCCGACCTTTAAAAATAAGAGTACATTTCTTAACTACTGAATCATTGTCATTTGGGCATGGTGATTCACGAGAGCTGTTTCTACTGTTCACTTCAGGATGAAGCCTGTTTTTAGCACAAAGTGGTAGAAATTGACAAGTTCACATAAATTGTTGGAGGTGGTTAACGAGGTGGGTGAGAGAGAGCTTATTTCAAATGTGGTGCTACTCAACTCATGTGCCTATGCAGTGGTAAGACAGGTGAGGGACTCATTTCAGGTGCGGTGCCGTTCTCATCCCCAGCTAGTGGTTCCCCAGGTAAGAGCTAATTGTAAGTGTAGTGGTTCCCAAGTGTCGGGCATTAGCAAGGTTGGAAAGAAAGCTTATTCTAGTTGTGGTGCTACAACATGCCCATGGAAGGAGTTCAATGATCTATGTGTTGGATGAACCTATTTTGATGGGTTGCGTAACTATTCAACTTTACCGCTAGCAGATATTGTCCTATTTGGTCTTTTACTTTCGAGCTTTCTTTCAAGATTTCTAAAGCACGTCCACTAGGTAGAAATTTTCACACCCTTCTAAATAATGTTTCATCATTCCCAACCGATGTGAGATATCACAAAAACCAACCTTCCTCGGGGCCAGCATCCTCGCTAGAACTCATTTCCTTCTCTAATCAATGTGGGACCCCCCAATCTACCCCTCTTCAGGGCTCAGTGTCCTTGTTAGCACACTGCCTCGGGTCCACCCCCTTCGGGGCTCAGCCTCCTCGCTGACACATTGTCCAGTGTGTCTGACTCTTGATACCATTTTTCGATTTGTGTGTGTCATCCTTGCGCAGAGGCCATGCTAGTCTTTTCTGATACCAAATGTAACGTCATTAATTAACCTAAGAAAATTAGGGGCGTTACATGATGTCTTTGGAGATTAATTGCTTTTATCTAATCAAGAGATGACTTGTATACAAAATGCTAGGTCATTGTTCCAAAGAACACTTGAGGTATATAGCTAGAACCTAAAGTATTCATCCTTCTCCTCCTATAAAGAAGAACCTCAATCTCATAGTCGAGGTACATCAATTCTCACTTCACGTGTTATAAGGTAGGCATGGTGTGAATAGGGATGGCTTCCGTGCCCTCGTTCCTAGCCTCCATACCGTTCTTCGTCCCTACAAAATTCTCTATTAAATGATGTGAGGATTATATGGACAATAAGAAAATTAAAAATTAAAAAATAAAAGAAAAGGCACCAAAATGAAATAAAAACAAATAATATTTGAAGATTTAAGAAATTAAGAATTAAACGAAACCCAACAAAATGAAAAAGGAAAATAAATAAAAGAAAAGAAAAGGCAAAAATAATGAAAATAAATAAAAGAATAGGCAACAAAATGAAATTAAACGAAACCCAACAAAATGAAAAAGGAAACTAAATAAAAGAAAAGGCAAAAATAATGAAAATAAATAAAAGAAAATATTTCCGTTGCCGGGACTTGAACCCGGGTCTTTCGGGTGAGAGCCGAATATCCTGACCAACTAGACTACAACGGAGTTTTTGACGTTCTTGAATTATTAAATTATATATTTACATTTTTATCATTTTTATCATTTTGAAGTTTATTACATTACTGATGTATTTTTTTAAAACCCCTTTAAAATAACAAATTTAAGGTTAGAATTATAATACAAAATATCTTCCATATATATATATATATATATATATATATATATATAAGTTTAAATATTACTTTAATTTTTATATATTTTATTCAAATTTCAATCGAGAGTCACAACTTAAGATAATAGTCATTTTAAAAATATATGAATAAAATTAAATCAAAATTAAAGTAGCACTTAAATCGATTATTTAATTATTAATTATAAATTAACAAAAAGTCGAGACAAAAAGATGGATCTAACGTTTTAATTTAAAATTAATTCAGTATTACCTAAATTATTATATTTTAGGTTAAATTATAAAAAACTCCTAAAATTTATATTGGTTTAAAAATACCTTTAAACTTTAAACTATTATAATACTATTTTTAAATTAAAAAAAAAACAGTTAAAGAATGTTTGACCTGATAATAGTAATACATTATGATTTGTGAATATTTGATATTTGAGTTTTAAAAAAAATAACAACCTGATAACCCGACAAAATAGAGGGAGAGATGTAATAGTTTTCATTTTCTTCAAGTCTTTCTTAGTCATCCTATTCTTAGGATCGCTCTCATTTGAATGTGGTCTCGGTTCATTCATGTATTCCTTCTTTACTCCGGTGTCATTAACAAATCAAACAAACTATGACAGTAAAAGCGTAATTATCAAAAACCAAGAACCAAAAACGTAGCTATAAATCAAATGGTTATCAAACCATTTAAATTCTATAGAACAAAGTGGACGTTACCGAATTAATTACATTAAATTTCTTAGACTAAAATTGATTAAACCTAAAAGTTGGTACCAAAAATGAAATTTAGACCTACACTTTAGTATTGTGCCATTTGGGAAGAACATATGGAGCAAATTTAATACAATCCAATTATCAACTCATTGATATGTGACCAAATGAGGTCTTATGGGTTAGGTTAACCTATAAAGTTGGAAACCCTAGACGTAAAAAATTGACCTGGCTAGATATGTCTCGGTCACGTGAATTATTAGAATATTGAATTACAATAATTAGTTACTTTCAGATTTATCCGATTTAATATTGAATTATTTGACACATACGTTTTCTCGTACACGACATGATTTAAAATTATTAATATAATATTGAGTTACGCATTTTATCGAGTAGTACTAAGGGTTAATATTAAATATTTTTTTTTCTATAATTAGTCTGATAACAGTTCAATTAGTTAAATATTATATCCCGGTCAAAATTAAAAGCGTTTGTGAGTTGAGTTAGGTTGAGACATTCTTTAGACTCAACTTTATTGTTCGGAGTGTAATTGTTTTTGGATTATATGATTCTAGTTGTTCGAGTCATTTATTCAAATTTTTTATTTTAATAAAAGTAAAATATTAGTCAGTAAAACTTCTATTTTATTTATTTTCGAAAATTTAACTAAAATTTTACCTCAATATCACTTCTTTAAAAATTATTTTAAAAATGGATTGAATAATAAATAATAATAAATTAATTATGAAACTAAATAAAAATAAAAATTATGGAATAAAAATGTATATTTTAAAACTAACAATAGATTTGGGTTCGTTCAATTGGATACAATCCTTTTCCTTCTTCTTGTTGCTGTATATCTCGTTCATTGTTTCTGGAGCCTATAGTGAGTTACTGACAGAGTTGGAAAAGGTCAAATCTTTGATTTGATGATTTATTAAGAGGATATTTTGGAGATATATTAGTTAGAATATATCTGACATATTTAGGGAGTTGTTAGTATAAATTTGATTAATAGTGTATTTTATTTATTTACAAGATTTAGTTAGTTATATATTTTTATCTATTTTTAGGTATTAGTTAATAGTTTGTACCATACACTTTTCCAATTCTATTTTCTATTTCTATTTCTTAATATGATTTCATCATACATGATTGAGTTGCGAAAATTTCTGGATAGAAATATGATTTCATCATACATGATTGAGTTGCGAAAATTTCTGGATAGATATCCCACACCTGAACTGAATTCTTTATGGTTAAAGAATCTATTTCTCGTTGCTCTGGAACAATTAGGAGATTCTCTAGAAGAAATATGAGGTTCTGCTTCTGGTGGCAACATGCTATGGGGTGACAGTCTCGCTTATGGGGTCAAATCAATATGTTCCAAGAAGAAAGATTGGAATATCAATCTCAATCCCATCAATCGAATCGCTTTTTCGAGAAATACAAGACATCTAAGTCATACAAGTAAAGAGATATATTCATTGATAAGAAAAATAAAAAAGGGAACGGTGATTGGATTGATGATAAAATAGAATCCTGGGTCTCTAACAGTGATTCGATTGATGATAAAGAAAGAGAATTCTTGGTTCAGTTCTCCACCTTAAAGAAAGAAAAAAAGGATTGATCAAATTCGATTGAGTCTGACTCATAGTGATCATTTATCAAAGAATGACTTTGGCTATCAAATGATTGAACAACCGGGAGTAATTTACTTACGATACTTAGTTGACTTAAACCAACTAAATTCATAAAAGTTTTATTTATTTAAACTCAATTCAATCTGAATGTACGGATTAAATTGAGTTGATCGGGTTTTTTTGATCAACTGATTTTCTAATCACTCGAGATATACATAAATTTGAATTTCTTAGTTAAAAATACAAAAATTCAATAAATTACCATAATTAAAATATTAGACGACAATAATTGAACAAATAATGTAGGAATAAATGCAATATTAAAAATAATAATAAGATATGAATAAATGCAATCTTAGTAGGTTCAACTAATTAGATTCAATGCACACACACGAGTATCTCTTCTCAATACACACATTTTTTTTAGTCAAAGTCAAACTAATCGTTCGGTCAAATTATAAAACAAAAATATCTTTGACCCATAGAGTTGGTTTCAACTATATCTCGAGCTCTAAAACATTTTTATTTAACTCTCGAAAGTTATTTCAAAGGAACAAATCTAAACACGGGACATACGTGAACCATACATGTTGTCGTTTTTCTCATTTTAATCTCAAAAAAAAAAAAAAAAAAAAATCTGAA